ATCTTAAAAAACAGTTGAGGAACTGCTGAAGCATGAGATCAAATGTGTAACATCTCTTAAATCAGACTTCTTAACAGAGAACCTGGAAGGTAGCCAATATATTAGCAATATTTTTTTTTAAAAAAAGGGATTGGGGTTGAGGAAGAGGAAAAAAGAAAACAACATTCAGGAAATTACGGACCTGTCTGAGATGCATTGATGAAAAAGATAACTGATATTGTAAAAACGTGCATAAACACAAGACTTGTTAAGGAAGAATTTTTGTGGAGGGAGGTTCTGCTCTGCCAGCCATTTAAAATATTGTACCACAGAGGCATCAATAATAAGTTGCAATAAGTTGCAGATACAGTAAGTGATCCAGTGAATATTATATTCTCAACTGTTCAGAAAGCTATAATGGGGTGAGCAAGAAGCTCACATGCAACCACCAACTTCCTTTTTTTGACCGCCTACATTAGGGGTATCAAACTTGATTTCTTCGCGGGCTGGATCACTGTTCTAGTTCTCCTCTGTGGGCTGGTGGTGGGTGGAGGAGGTGTCAGCAGGTGAAGGCACGTGCAGGCCTGCCATCATGGCATCCTCCTGTGCACATGCACGCCTGCTAGGATGGCGTGGGACAGGCCTGCGCTTGCATGTGCCTACTGCCTCCTGCACACATGTGCACCCACCAGGATAGCATGGCCCAGGCCGAAGCGATGTGGGCTGGCCCCTTACAATTTCCAGGACGGCTGTGCCTTGAGTTTCACACCCCTGGCCTAGATGATTCCCCAATTCTGCTGCTGAAAACTGCTGGAAAATCATTGATATCCAGTACTAAAAGGCTAATATTAACACTTTCTCTTAATACATTTCTTCCAAAACAAGCGTCCAACAGGATGAACCCACATAGTTTAGCTTTTAAGTAAAACCTTATCAAATTTTCAAAAGAGATATAAAAGAAGCCAACAGTTCCAGCCTGGCAGAAAAGTGTGATTTTAATATATGAAATTCCTGACTCTAAAAATGTTGCTCGCCCTGCAATTGCAGCAGTCAAACGTAGAGATATCCAAACATTTCTAATTCTGAATTCTAATTCCAATTCTAAATGAAGCAGGTTGTTTCACATTTGACCCACGTGTAGTTATAGTTGAAATAGGTTGTTTTGAATTAAAAAAATCAGGGCTTTTCAAGCTGAGTTTGAACGCCAAACAATTTGTACACAACTAGTCAAGACATAAGAGGATAGACTGGTCGCTAGTTTGAAAGACAAGCAACAGAAGGTGGAAATAAATAAATAGGGCTCAAAATGGAAGTAAGCACAAAGAACAAGCTGATTCAGTGTTAAAATTTACAATTAAGACATTCAACAGAATATCTCATTGTAAAATAATGTGCTTTCTACAGGATATTACATTCCACCATGTTTTATATTCCCCCCCCAGAAGCCAATGTATATTTTGTACCCAAAATCGGGCAACCAGTTCTCATTTGAATCTTTGGGATTTTACTTTTGTCAAAAGTTTGTCAAAATTGAATATACTACCATACTGGTAGTATACATGGCTAGCCCATCTGAAAAAAAAAATGAGACACAGACTAGAGGAGAGAAAAAAATTGAAGGGGAAAGTCTTCTCTTCATAAAAACCTGAGGTTATGCCATTGTGTACCCAGGATGGCAATGCAACAATCACACAGGGTTGCCCTGGGTCGGTCCATAGTTACTTGAATAGCTCTTCAGACTGAAGATTAGAATCAAGCATTAATTTTCTTTTTCTTCTGCTCTCGTCAAGCAAGAAGACAGGCAGTCTCAAGCAATCTACTCTCTTTGGAGGAGGGAAAATATTTTGCCCAGGATCCCCAAAGATCTGGAGATGACCCGCTGATGGATAGGGAATTTGGTGTCTAAGATGTAGAGTATATGTGTGCACCTCCACAATCTGGCCCAGATCTTCCACGTACATCTTCTCCGTTTCAGTCAACTCCCTGAGAACAAACCTGCAGACAAGACGAAGCAGCAGTGTCTAAGGGGAAGGAAATGCATTGTGTGAGCCCTGTTCCCTCTTTTCTTATGTACGGCATCCCTCCCATCTTCTTATCCTGCACACATGTGCCACTTACAGACATACAGTAAAGCCTTCCCTATGTTGAGGAGACTCTTGTATGACACAGAGAAAGGACCTCGTTGGCAAGCTGCCTAAGATGTGGCAGAGCAAGTGTGCTGCAAATGTCTGAGCAGTCAGTTTTTCCTGAAGTATTACAGGAATGTTGATGCATAATTAACAATGGATTCTATATAGCATGTCTTCCCAGCACATTTGGAATGAACAGTTAGGACTTGATGGGATATATCAGTGATGGCGAACCTTTTTTGGCTCACGTGCCATAAGTGGGTGAGCGCAGGGGGGGGGGTCGTGTGTGGGCATGCCATACCCATAGTGCAATGCATGACCCCCCCCACACATGAGAGGTGTTCCCCCCATTTTTCCATGCTTTTTTCGCCCTCCCCAGGCTCCAGAGGCTTTATAGGCACCTGGAGAGGGAGAAAACAGCCTCCCCCGCCCCCTGGAGGCCCTCCGGAGGCTTCAGGGACCTTCAGGAGGCTTCCTTAAAGCCTCCGGAGGACTAAAAATGACACTATGAGCAAATCGGACGTAACTTTTGCTTTGCTTGTAGGGTCGGTTTAAGCCCTCCGGAGGCTTCAGGGAAGCCTTCTGAAGGTCCCTGAAGCCTCCGGAGGGCTTAAACTGACCCTACAAACAAACCGGAACTCTGTTCCCGAACGTCCGGTTTGCCCATAGGGCCAGTTTTTTGCGCTCCAGAGGCTTCAGAAAACAGCCTCCCGGGGGGGAGAGGCTCTTTTCGCCCCCCCCGGCTCCTATAAAGCCTTTGGAGTCTGGGGAGGGCGAAAAATGGCTTTAAAAAAGGCTGAACTCAGCTTGCATGCCCTGACAAATGGCTCTGCGTGCCACCTGTGGCACGCGTGCCATAGGTCCACCATCCCGGGGATCGTGGCACGACAAAACCGCGGTCCACTAAAACGCGCCCAATTAAAGCGCGTACCTGACGTCATCAGCAGCGCAACAAATACGACCGCGGAGAAAAAAGGGCGCTTTAAAAAGCGCTTTTAAAGCAAGCCGATTCACGTAAAGGTGTTAGGTTTAGGGTTAGGGTTAGGGTTAGGTTTAGGGTTAGGTTAAGGGTTAGGTTTAGGGTTAGGTTAAGGGTTAGGTTTAGGGTTTACAGTGTGCTTCTGTCTCCGTGC